ACAGCTGGGAATTAATGTTGAACACCTGAGTTAGGACTTGGGCTTTGCCCAATATTATCTCTACTTGCGAGAGTTTTGGTGTCATTATGAGTGGAGGGCTTCTTTGGATGGGATTGGAGTAAGAATTTTTAGGATGAATCACATCTGGAAGCCAGCGATTCAGTCTTGTAGCCAATCATGTTAGGTCTGGGTGAGCCACTTTCCCCAGGAGGTTTCAGTGGTGGATCAGGCAGGGAGGATGCTGAGGAAGGGCCTTCTTGTTTCCTACCTTGGTGCTTTCCCTGGTTTCTATCGGCTGCCCACAAGTATGTTCTACTTTGTGGGTGAGGAAAGCCCTGCGCTCTCCTTCAGAGGAGAATGTGTCTGCCCTTTGGGTTTAGCTCTAATCAAACTCCATGCTACCGTCCTAGTCTTTTCCAAGCAGTAAGCTGCACCTGCAGGCAGTAATAGAGCAGGGAAATGCAGGTGGATGTATGGGTAATGGCTCTAGCAGACAAGAGTGAGTGATGGTTGGGAAGCTGGGCAGTTTTTTTTTCTCACAATGAAAGTGAGGTAAAATGAATGCCATTTTCATTACTAGGGATAATTGGGTCTGTTTGCTCCCTTAGACAGGCAAATATAGCAAGCCTGCTTTGACTTTCTGTTGTTTGAATCTTTTAAACACAGAAAGATTGGAAACATCAGATTGTTTCTGATTAAAAGGTTGAAGATACAGAAGTTTTATAATTAAAGTAGGAAGAAGGACTCATTTTTTTCCCCCACTCTGATCAACTCTTATCCTTCTTTGACTACTCCCGATTGCCACCTTATGACATCCCAGTGCAGAGAGATACTGATCCTTTCAGCTTTTGGGGCAGCAGGAGCCTCTTAGCTGGTCATGGGGGTGGGTCAGAAGGACCATTTGGCCTAGAGCTGAATATTCAGGCAGGGCCAAGATTTTAAAATTTCATGCTGTCTACAACATAGGTAATATGTTCATATGTATAGTAAAAATATTTATTAGGTAATTCTAAACATTTAAAAACAAACGCAATTTTTGCTTACTCTATTTTGGCATTTTCTCCCTTTTTTAATATACCAGGGTCCTTGAAAAAAATGGAAATGATCCAGGTCCCTAACCCCTGTGAGGCCCTAATTGCCTGCTGCGAAGGCTCTCACAATACAATAATGGTCATAGAGGCTCATGAGGAGGGCAGACCTCAGTGACTGAAAACATGAAGAATTTACTAAAGTGAATACTAAGTGTTTTGGGGAGGTGTAACAGGCCCCTCCCAAGCAGGTGAAATGAAGGGGCTGGGGGAGATCAGCCCCTTCTACTAGGGGAGGAGGGGGTCGGGAGGGTTGATGTTAGGCAGTAGACATGATATGTCCTAATAACCAATTAGTTTTAGGGAAATAGCCAAACTCTATGATGATTTTCATATTTTAAGGTTGTGCAAGGGGTGAATGGCAGTGTTGTCAACCAAAATATGTACTTGGGAAAATTTATTTTCTAGCAGTGGGTGTGTAGATAAGATGACTGATTTGGAAGCATGTTGTGTATGAATGGCCTTTGAAACATCAGAGTAGAGATATTTTATAAATATATGATCTTGTATTACAAAAGCACTTAGTTACTCTTGTCAATTTAGAACCTCATAGAATATAAGGCACTATATAGGCCCAATGGGGAATAGAAAGAATAGATTTTATGACTCCTCCTTTCAAGTTTATTGTCTAATTGCAGTCAAGGTTTTGATAACCACACAAGATGCCAGTAACCCTCCAGACAACAGCAAGAGAAATGTTATAGGCAGTACATGAATGATTGCCAAATGAATTGTATAGATGCATCTTGCTTTTCTATAGTTACTATCCAAGTGGAATTGTTCATTTGGTTTTACTTCTGTTTTACTCTGGTAGTGTGAGATGGTTTGAGGATGGCATGAGCTTATTTAATAGTACTGTGAGTTATTAATACCTGATTTGGAGTAATAATTTTATTAATAATTTTGTTAGGATGGGGACAGTTATTTGTCACATTTTACAGAAGAGGAAACTGTGGCACTGAGAGGTTAACCTTCCTAGAGTCTTATAAACAATAAATGATAAAGACACTTTCCCTTATTTTGTCATCCTAATTTTTGTCACTAAATATGTCCCCTATCATTTAAGTAAATATATCCCCTATCATTTAAGTTATTTGGAAAGCTTATTTATATGGGTTGCATTATTTATTTAATCATTATCCTAATACATATATTTCCAATTGTGTCTTCAGGATAAATCCTACAAGTGGGCTTCCTGTACTAAGAAATAGAAAATATTTAAGACTCTTTAAATCATATAAAATTATTTTCCACGAAAGTTAAAAAAACTTTACAGATTGGATGCATTTTTCAATCCCATGTAGAAGTGTTTTGCAATCCTATATGGTTGTCTAAACCAAAACAAATAGGAGAACTCAAAAACACTGGTCAAAGGTTGTGATTAGAATAATAAATCAGAGATTGTCAGAGGAGGAAGGAACTCCAGGTACCTTCTAGTCCCAAGCCCTCCTTTTATTAACTAAGAACTAAGGTTAGAGAGCTTAGGGGACATGCCTCAAACTACACCACTAAAGGCAGTTAGGACAAGAACCTGAGCTTAGCATTATGTGAAATATTGAGTCTGAATCTCTTAGACAGTTTGGATGATTCAAGGGTGTCCTGAAATGTCCATCTGGGGTCTTGAGTAGAGGTCTAAGGGACTTTTAGTGTTTGGGTCAGCTTCACAGTTTACCCCTAAGCTTCAGTGTGTCAGAGGGGTAGGGAAGTAATGCAGAGGGGTCTGTCCTGAACTGAGAAGCCCCATATTCACCCACAGAGATAAAGGCGTCTGCTGGGTCAGGGGCGATTCTGAAATTCCCTCTTATGTGTTTTCTTGGATCTGCCTGGTGTCACATCCACAAGGGTGATCTGGATTCTCTCTTCATTATTCTGTTGATGCCACAAAACATTTGAACAAAAGGCTGCTCACATAATTAAAAACTCATGTAATTCAAGACTAATTTTTTATAGCACTGACCAAAAATGGAGCATATTTCCATTTATAAGCCAGAGGTGACTCCACCATACGACAATACTGTAAACAAAATTGGTAATTTGATTTGGCTTGGTATCTGGCAAGGTGGGGTTAAGCTAAGTTTTACCAATAAACCTCAAAGTTTCAGTGAGTTATTGTTTCTTAGAAAATGAGAAGCAAGCTGGTTGATCATCCTCTGTGTTATAGAGATGTCATGGCACAGTTGCCAAGGCAGGGGAAGAGAGAGATAAAGGAGTCATGTAGACTCTTAAGTGACCCAGCCTGTAAGTGACATGTGCCAGTTCTGTTCACAGTCCATTAGCCAGAATTAAAACATTGTTCTAATCCAACTGGAGGAGAGGCTGGGGAAAGTGGGGAGCAGCTCACAGATACTGGATGAACACTAATGGGTACCTTCATGCACTTTATGCTTAAGACACTTAATTAATTGGCCAACTAAAAATATATAGAAAAAATTAGCCAAGCACAGTGGCGCATGCCTGTAATCCAAGCTACTCAGGATGCTGAGGCAGAAGGATTGCTTGAGCCTAGGAGTTTGAGGTTGCTGTGAGCTTGGCTGACACCACAGCACTATAGCCTGGGCAACAGAGTGAGACTCTGTCTCAAAAAAACAAAAATCAAAAAACAAACAAAAAGAGAGAGGAACACTCCTACACTGCTGGTGGGACTGCAAACTAGTTCAACCTCTGTGGAAAGCAATATGGAGATACCTTAAAGCGATACAAGTGAATCTACCATTTGATCCAGCAATCCCATTGCTGGGCATCTACCCAAATGATCCAATGACACTCTACAAAAAAGACACCTGCACTCGAATGTTTATAGCAGCACAATTCATAATTGCAAGGCTGTGGAAACAGCCCAAGTGCCCATCAATCCAAGAATGGATTAATAAAATGTGGCATATGTATACCATGGAGTACTATTCAGCTCTAAGAAACAATGGTGATATAGCACATCTTATATCTTCCTGGTTAGAGCTGGAACCCATACTACTAAGTGAAGTATCCCAAGAATGGAAAAACAAGCACCAGATATATTCTCCAGCAAACTGGTATTAACTGAGTAGCACCTAAGTGGACACATAGTTACTACAGTAATAGGGTATTGGGCAGGTGGGAGGGGGGAGGGGGGCGGATATATACATACATAATGAGTGATATGCGCACCATCTGGGGGATGGTCATGATGGAGACTCAGACTTTTGGGGGGAGGGGGGGAAATGGGCATTTATTGAAACCTTAAAATCTGTACCCCCATAATATGCCGAAAAAAAAAAAAAAAAAAAAACAGCCCCAGAGACCCATGGGCTATAGTTTGCTAACCCCCGAGCCAGTTCCCTGTTGATAGATATTGGGTTTATTTGCAGACTTTTGCTGTAATAAATTGTGTTGCCACAAAAAAAACCAAAAAACTTTGTAGGCCATTTCAATAATTTCAGTTTTAAACATAAAGGTAAACCTTTCTTATTACTTTTCTTTTAATATGCTGGAAGGGCAACTGTATGGTGAAGTACATGCTGTCATTTAAAGAAATCCTTTTGATCTCTGTGTTAAAAACAACAGAACCTTTGCTCAATAGTTGTGCTACCTGGTCAAGGATTTAACTTTTGAAAACCTCTATCCCTCTAGAAAATGGCATAATAATCCCTCATTCATGGGTATGTTACAAAAATTAGGTTGGAGGTTGCATGTAAAACATTTGACATAGTGAGCAGTGCATAGTTAAGTGCTTATCAAATGTGAATTTTTTTATTTTTATTGGTATTTTTGATATTGTAGTGGGATCTACTATTGTCCACATTGATACAGGATCCTCTGAATCGGTGATATATTCATAATCATTGGAAGATGGTGTACTTTAGGGGGACAAGTAATGTTTTGTCCAGGTTCCAGAAATAAAATGCTTTCATATTCTGTATATTCTTATTTTTCTAGATCATGGGGAGTTTCCAAGGTCATGCCCTCCCTGGAACCTTCTTTTTTGTTATGGGTCTTTGGTGGAGTATAAAGAGTATTCTGAAATATGTCTGCAGAAAGCAAAAGCGAACCTGCTACCTTGGATCCAAAGCATTATTCCATCGAGTAGAAATTTTGGAAGGATCTGTATTAGTTGGCATGGCTTTGACTGGTGAGTGGACCATTTCTGTGTTCTGTTTTCTCCTTTTGGATATTTTTACATACAAAGAAAATATCCAATATAATGTCAAGAAATTGCCAAATGAATTTTTAAATAAAAAATCTCTTAACACATTCTGATTGTAATTTCTCTCTGACATATTAATAATTTGTTAGGAAGGTGATACTCATGTTTATACAAAGGCCTATTTATGAATTAGTGATAGTAATTAACTTGTCTACACAGTTAAGGTAAATTTCCTTTATAGAATTTTTTGGAGCTTCTGAAATCATTTTATATCTATTGTTCTGATCCCTGAAAGAATGAACCCATTCAAAATCAAAAACCATTTTGCAAACAATAGCAAAATAATAAAGTGATTATGGAAAAACTTCAATAATAAATCATTGCTGAGAGGCTGTAGAAGATCTTGCCTCGTGCACTCATCCTTCCTTGGTTCTTAAATTGGAGCAAGAGGTTAGGCCACATGACTTATTGAGGCCTTTCCACTGACTATGAATATTCTATGAAAATGTGCTGTGTTTTTAAGAGTTTCACTGCTGCCTCTCCTTTATAAAATGTAACCCTTCCCATTTTCCCATTAGATTTCTTTATGCTTTATTCATGGCAATATGTCTTTGCTATGACCATCAAATTATGGAGTGGTGTTTCCAAAGAGAGAAATTTCCTTGCCAAATTCTATAGACTAACAAAGAATGGAGCAACACTAAGAAAGTTTAACTGCTTGCATAACTGACTACATCATATGCTTATCCCTCTGGGCTCTCTCAGTTATCCTCAACTGAGGAAAAGCTGAACTCTTTAGAGTTTTTGTCTGGGACCAAGCGCAACCGCCTACTTCATGGCAGCTACCCAAACATGCATAATTGTATCTAAGAAGGAAGTAATCAGCCTCCATAGGACTAATCGCAAATCCATACCCCCAAATTATTCAGGATTTATCTTAGTCATTAGATTGGAATAATCAGTGGAACAAAGATCATCAGCACTGAAGATCTGAAAGAGCTGTTTGACTCAACTGGTTATCTTTGACTAAAACTGATTATTTGAACCAGCATCTGAACCTCTAAAACAACCCTAAAGCACCAGTGCTCAGCTGTTGGGGAACAGCCTAAATAGAGGAATTGATGTCATAAGACGACAGTAGATTGAAATGAGCTATGAGCTGATCTTCCTGCATCTTCTTGCATTCTAGGTAAATTATGGAAAGGGTTGCTAAAAGTGTGAAATGTTCTTCTACAGGCATGGCTGTGGAGCAGTTTATTCCTGGAGGGCCCCGCCTGACCTTATATAAAGAGGGCCAGTGGAACGCGCTCACGAGCTGGCATCATTCCACCATGTATTTCTTCTTTGGATTGTTGGGCGTGGCAGACATCCTATGTGTCACCATCAGTTCACTTCCCTCCTCCTTACCCAAGTTAATGTTTTCAAATGCCTTACTTGTGGAGGGTAAGTATGAATGAGTATTTTTCCTGTACCTTTCTTTATTAGTGGGCATTTGTGTAGGCCTTTATAATAATATAACTTTGGTGTCTTGGTGCAGCCTTGATTGACAGGGCCATTTTTCTGGGCCACAATGGGTGTCCTAGGCAGATGACAAAGATCGTCCCTCCCTACTGCCTCATATAGTAGAATTGGGCAAGCACACTCATTAAAAGTGGTTTCTTCACACTTCACATCTGTATTAAAGAACCACTTTCGATAGTTACTTATGTCTACATTGTCCTGAAGATTAACATTCTTTTCACTTTCAAAAAATGAAAACTGAACTCAGTTAGTGAAGCATGAATATCCCGAAATGAGGCAAACACTCACAACAGAACAGCTTCCACCATCTACTAACTAGCCCTTTTCATATTGATATAGCCAAACCCTGCCATTATGTAATAAGTAGGATCCAAAAAATTCAGCCACATAAAAATATGAGGTCATAATTTTGAGAGGTTAATTCAAACAGTATTTTTAGTTCAATTTCCAGTGCCCGTAGAAGGGAAAAAGAAAACAAATGTTTAATGATTTGTTGTCATTTATTACAGGTATTAGAAATAGATCATGAAATTTAAAAAGGCACAAATTAATCAGAAGGCAGTCACTCCCTGCTCACGTTGCTTCTGGCATCTGAAATAAAACTGTTGCCCATTCCTCTTTGGGAACAAGGGCTAGATAAAAGATGGGTGCCAACAACTAATAGCCTGATTCTTGTTATCTCAGGGAGTTGCTATATTTTGAATGAATATCCTTTTCTGTTTATACAAATGAAAAGGATTAAGATGAAGGTGAAATCTTTCTATGGGAGGAGAAAATGTAGTTAGTTTCTACTTCCTGGGAGTTGCTCAGAGCATCTTGTCATACCTGTCAGAGTCCGCCCTTATGATCTGGGAGTGGACTGAGTTCCTTAAGGCGAGGCTTCAGCTTATCCATCTGTGTGTCATCTTAATTCTTGCTCCCCTGCTTCTTTGTGCTTATTATTTCTCATCTTTCATACAGGATGCTTTGAAATATAGTTAGTTGAAAATGTCAAAATGTGTTAGAGGAAAGAATAAAGGTTGGGAAGAGAAAAGCAGGGTTATATTTCAACGATTCCACTCCAAAGAGGCATGATGACTTCAAAACTGCTGCAGAGTTGCAGTTCTCTGGGAATCTTTGACACCTGTGCTTTGTGTATATACAATTCTCTGGAAAGAAGGAGAGAGAGAAACAGTTGGTGGCCTTTGTGTCATTGAAAAAGACAAACTGTTTTTTACCCCCTTTATTAGGTTTTATCTTCCACAACCACACTCATGGCCGGGAAATGCTGGACATCTTTGTGCACCGGCTGCTGGTTTTGGTCATCTTTTTGACTGGCCTGGTCACCTTCATGGAGTTCCTCTTACGAAACAATGTACTTCTGGAACTTCTGCGTTCAAGCCTCATCCTGCTTCAGGGGAGCTGGTTCTGGCAGGTGAGTTGGGGCCTCCAGTAAATGGACCTGCTGTCTCTGCCTGTAGTTGCTCCTTATCTGATGGGGCATTTTGCTAGAGACTTCCCTCCAACATGCTGCATGTCGTGAGAACATGGGAATCTGACGGGTGCTGTTTCTTAGAGTAGCCCAGTGGCCCTGGTGGGAACATTGTCAGAGCAGCTGGGAAGGAAGTGGAATGTGCACATCTTCATCTCACACCTGAATAACCATTATGTAGCAACTCCGAGCTGATGCTTTTAGTTAGAAGCAATTCCTGTTGTTAAAGCAGCTTACAGCCTAATGGGTGATAAGTTGGAGAAATACCTGGAAGGTGGGAAAGAGAGGAAATTATTATTCATTGAGAAACTACTATATGTTGGCCATTATATTGAACGTTTACATTCACATTGTTTTAGTTTGTCCTCACAACAATCGGGAGGTTAGGTATTATTATCCCTAATTTATTCAGAGGAAGACACATAGAGACCCAGTTACTTTCCCAAGCTCACACGATAGTGGAACTAGGATCTAAGTCTTAATATGTCTGACCACAAATCCCAGACGCTTTCTGTTTTATAGTGTCAACTTTAGAAACTTGGTATGTTGTTGAAAGCATGAATTCCAATCAGTGAACACATACTTTGTAGAGACTAATCAATCATAATCTGATATACATACATAGATGTAAAGAAAGTCTGAGATGGAAGGCGAATGTGGTTTAATTAGGGAAGACTTCTTAGAAGAGGTTTTTAGTTACCAGACAATAGGGATTAAGGATGATGAGGTTATCAGGGATTTGCATTGCACATGAGAAGTGAGAAGGAAGCCTTGGTAGGTGAGGGAGAGAGAAACATCATAGTTAAGGAGGGGCTGGGAAAGATGTGATACTCATGCATGTGGGGGTGAGGAAAAGCTGTTGGAACAGAGGCTAGTAAGGAGGGGCTGGATTGAAGGGTTATTTTAATGGAAATATTTTATAGGAAAAATACCTTAACAAAAACCCTAATAATTGGTGAATTTAACTCCAGTTTATACACAGAAGTTGTTTTGTTAGATTATTTATGATCTGTCAGGAAATGAAATAGAGTAACTAAAATAGTGTGGAAATCACTATTATGTGCTCTGTACCTTTTGATTGGCATGTTTTTCTATGTGCATGTATTACCTATCCAAAAATAAATACAAATTTTAAACATTTTTAAAAAGGTAGATTCTGAACAAGATGACACAGTTTATACCTCTTTGCTCTAAACACATAACAATAACAGATAAAATAGAAAAAAACCCCTAGAAAATAGAAATTAAATAAGTGAATAAGAAAGTAAAAAATATCTGACTGCAAATGAACAAAACAGGCAAAAACAGAGCAAAGACCCTTGTGGGCAGGACATGGATAGAAATGCACACGCCAGAGCAAAGCTGATGTGTAGGCTTGCTGGTTCCAGGTACAGAGAAGACAATGATGGTTGAGTTTTGGGCTCCATTGGAACTAAAAGGGAGTAAAAGGCCTCCTCTCAAGGTGGGGGATGAAGCCAGGTTCTTGGAACTCTTTTTTTTCCCCAGGCCCTCTTTTTATTTATAATAATATCAAACCATCTACTTGCAAATTTTCTGGTCTCCATCAGCTCGAATTAACTAAGTATTGTGTATCTTTGGGATTATGTAGTCAGGGACAAGAAAGGAGCAAGCAAACCACTGAACAGCAGGGTGTCACACTGCTTCAGCTGGAAAGCAGGAATCCAGCAGGAACGTCTGAACATGCCACACCCGAACACTTACAGGAGGGAAAAAGAGAGCTGCTCTTCATTTGTTTTCAAAGCAAATTCATTTGAAAGATGGTGAATAAATGGTTGTCATTAAGTCAAATTTATTAATCAAGTAGGCCTTCAGCCTAGAAAACAAAGGCTTTCTTTTTCTGATATACTACACTGAAAAAAATTTATCAACAAACCCCAAAGATTTGGTACAATATAGTATAATTTATATTTGCTTTCCTCTTTCCTTTCTTTAGACAAGCACCAAATAACATCCAGGTGAGGGAGATGCAACACAGTAGAGGCTGACTTAGGAGCTCAGAGTAACTCTCTAAAGCAGGGGTCCTCAAACTACAGCCCACGGGCCACATGCGGCCCACTGAGGACATTTATCCCGCCTGCTTAGCAGCCGACTCGTCCCGGGCCCACAGTGCGCATGTGTGGAATGTGCGCCACACTCTCCAACGGCCCTCCAACGGTCTGAGGGACAGTGAACTGGCCCCCTGTTTACAAAGTTTGAGGACCCCTGCTGAGTCTAAAGTATCTAAAATATTATGTTGGTTAATGTGTAGAATAAAACATTTGAGTACTGCTTTTCATACTGATAGAAAGTCCCTGCTGGTGATGGTGGTTGGGGGGGTGGGGAAGATTGTTAAAAAGTGTAATAACCTTTTCAGAACTCACAAGGCAGTTTACTTGTCCTTTATTTAGTTGCAGTCATGGAGACTATCCCAATTTCCAATAAAATACTCTGTCAATACTGCAGCAATATCATGGCATAAAAGGACTCCAAGTGCCCCTAGATATAAGGACTAGAGTTTCTGTTTGTAAACCATGATGCAGGGTAATGTCTGAATGAGAATTTTGATATGCATGGTCAGATGAAAGAGATCAAAATGTCGACTGGGAACTCTCCAAGTGTGTGTGTGTGTGTGTGTGTTAAAAAATATATTCTGTATTCCTAATTGGTTTTCATCTGATTGATCTCTCACTTTCTAATAGAAGTCTTTTAAAGTTTTGTATTTATGAGTTATATAGGAGTATACTTTTAAGTTTCCAAAAATATTTTATCTTGTTATTTATAACTAATTTAATTGCTTTATGGTCAGAGAATGCTTTCTCTTTAAAATGTATTGAAACTTCCCTGGGACATAGCACAATGTCAGTGGTTATAAATGTTCCATGCATTTGGAAAGATAGTATATCCTTTCTTTGTTGGGTTCAGGATTTTATATATATTTACTAAATCAAGTTTGTTAGAGAGCTAATATTCAGATAAAGAAAGTTGGACAGTAAGAACAAGAGGGGAAACCCAATAAGAGTTGAGGGAAAGAATTATAAAGAGCAGAATTAATGAAAGTTATTAGTATTCAGTCAATAATGATTAGTTAACATTTAGGATTTGAAGGAGGAAGCTGTGGGCTATGTCGAACTGGGAATAGGTCGTTTAAATGTTGCCCTTTTTGAAATAATGTTTTCATATTTCCCCAAATGTTTTTCTAAGGAAGAAGTTAAAATCTTTGGGCAAACATCTGTGATTATTTAGAAATTTTTTCATCTGCCAGTATGTTTAGACTAGTTTCATTTTTTTTACCTGGTGGCCAGTCTAAATAATGTCTGCAGCCTTAAATTAAAATGAACATTTCATACCAATGTAAACATACACACTGGCAGTAAATGAAGGTTTAGCCATAGTGACTCTCCCATTCTTGCATTCCTCTGAAATAAAAATATCTAGAAACTTAGGTGAATTTATTATGCTTCCATGTTTTGTGTGTGGTATATGAATGCTTATGGCCCAAACTGTCTTAAGCTAACAAAATTACATCATGATTTGTTTTTCACAATATTTTTTCCTCTCACTACTTCTCTGTATATGGTTGGTACTAGTACAAAAACTATGTATAGACAAATTGCAGAAAACACCCACCTAGATTTTTGGAACCATATGTATGCAGATGTGAACTGCAGGAAGCAAATGCTGAGATTGGCCACTTTTTAATAAGTGGTATATAAATGACTGGTTAATATGCAAACAGAGGGGGAATTTCCCTCCCAATCTATTAAAAAATACTTTCAATTGCAAAGATGTGGAAAAAACCCAAGTACCCATCAATACATGAGTAGATTAATAAAATGTGGTATATGTATAACAATGGTGTTCTACTCAACCTCAAAAAACAATGGTGATCTAGCACTTCTTGTATTATCCTGGATAGAGCTGGAACCCATTTTACTAAGTGAAGTATCACAAGAATTGAAAAAAAGTACCACATGTACTCACCATCAAATTGCTACTAATTGATCAACACTTTTATGTGCACATATGGAAGTAACATTCATCACGTGTCAGGCAGGTGGGAGGGAGCGGGAGGGGATGGGCATATTCATACCTAACGGGTGCGGTGCGCATTGTCTGAGGGATGAGTACACTTGTATCAGTAGCTCTGACTCAGGTGGTACGAAGGCAATATATGTAACCTAAACCCTTGCACTCCTGTAGTATTCTGAAATTTAAAAAAAAAGTATCTTTCCTGAGCCACATTACAGGCAAAAATGTTTTCTCAATAACCTAGCCACATCATGCAATTTAAAAAAGAAGCAAAAATCCTTCAGGTCCCTTCATTCCATGAATCATGTTTTCCTGTGACTATGTTTGCTCTTTCTCACTGCAAACTCCCTCCCATCATTGTTAGAGCCCAGGCACAGGAACAGTCCCATGGTGAGGAAGATGCTCCCGATATCTTGCTTCTTGTTACTTAGCACAGTTGCTTCCGCGGCCTCTCCCCCCAGGCACTCCTCCCAGGACTGGCAGATTCCAAGCCCATGCTAAAACTCAGCCTTGTCTTGCCTTTAAGAAGGACAAAAGTTCATCCTAAAATGGCAAAAAATCCCTACTAGGCAGTAGTGGTCTGAGATCTGAAATGATAGATCAAGTACTTGCTTAGGCTTATAGTATTGAAATAAATGATTGGGTGATCCAGATATTAAACAACAGGAAATTCAGATTCTAAATTATAGGAAATGGATGCCAGGCTTGTTGTCTATTACAGAAGATAATTATTTACATTTGAAATGTGATGCTAATGAAGCTGAAACTAGTCCAAAACAGATGTTCAGGAGTGGCATACAAGATATTAGCAAGAAAAAAATTTCATTTGTAGGTCTTTTTATGTCTTAGAATTTTATGTTAGGAAGCAAATTAGGACCAGCAGTGGCTGGTCTTTGTATTTAAAGGAGGATATA